TCCTGGAGGTGGCACTTGCCAGTCCCAATGGGAGACTGCATCCCAAGGATCTGCTTGTGTGATGTGGGTGCCTGGTCTTATCTCCTCATATCCCCTGTAGACCTCACAATTCCTGGTCTCTAATTTAGTCTCTAAACTGTATCTCACTCACCCCCCTCCCTTTCTACTTCCCAATCAGAAACCTCTCTCTCCTGAGATCTTGTGGACTGTGCTCTGGGGGCTGCACACCTGTTGCGGAGATCTGTTTTGTACTGGGCAGTGCAGGACCAGGTTTTGTAAGCTAATAACCAACTGCGTAACCACAAGCACTTTGCCAGGTTAGCAGCTGTGGGGGAGAGGAGGGAGTTGGGGACTATAGGTACTTTAATATTGCTTCTAGGCCCCAGCCAGTGTCCCAGACTGGGAGTTGCCCCAACTAAAGATGATGACAAAGATGTCCCATGATGGAGGTGGCTGCTTTCAGAGATGGGGTATCTGGTCAAATGAGGCTGGGCAGTGGCGTTGAGCAGTTTGTTCATAGATGAAGCTGTGTAGCATTCAGTTTTGTGGCTGGTGACTGTCTCCAGAACTTGTATGGTGTCCCCAGGTGCAGGCTATTGTATGGAGGGGACTATGGTTGTGGTTGCAGTGTCCCAAGATGAAGGTGACCAGGGGATCCCCATGTTGATAGATGGGGGTCCACATTGGAGTGGCAGCTGGAGGTCCTGTATGTGGGCAGTGGCTAGGAGTCCTGCACTGATACTGATGCCTGGGGACCTGTGCTGGCATGGCAGCTGGGATTCCTATGCAGGAGTAACTGTGTGTGTGTGGGGGGGGTCTTCTAATAACTCATAGAGAAACAGTATTCCCACTACTTGAATCCCAGGTCCTGAGCAACACAGAATGCAGACTCCCTCTAGCCCACCATCTTGGATCCTCTAATTCTTCAGGTGCTTTTAATGATTAAATTTATCTTCAATGTAGCCAATATTACTATCTTGCAGACTTACATTATAAATGATTAAGAAGGCCAGTCTCCTGAACTTTGCTAATTATTATACAACATAATGTTATGAAACAAGCAAAACCATTTGCCTGATTTTGTCAAGAGGAAGACAAAAAAGTAAAAGTGTTTCAGTCATTGGGTGTGAAGGAAGACTCATCCACTTTACTTTGATCATTGTAACTGGCTGTATTGTTTATCATACATTGAGAAGAATTAACAGGTATACCAAAGTATTAATTATGGCTGACAATGGGTAATGAAATTAAGGTGAGAAGATTTCCAGTTTCTTCATTATATACTTGCTTATTATTGGTAATGAGTATGTGTTTTGATGAGGTTTTATAATAGTGATCCAGTTATCTGTTCTTATTTCCTGCAGGTAGCCATCATCTACTGGATGCAAGGCGCTAGGTAGGAAGGATACAAAGGAACTGGTATTCTAGTGGTCAGACATCTAGGAAGGCAATTATGGAGAGAGAAAGGTACCCTGCAGTGAAAGGAATTTAAATTAGGCCTGGGAATCCTGCCTCAACTCTGTCTGCTGCCATGGTGATCTCTGAGTTTGATGATAGCACATTACTAGGAATGGGGAGGAGAAGAGGAAGCTTTTCTGGATGACCAACCTAAGGTTCTTCTATCCTCTTACTTTTTGAATATGACTGGAAGCACACCTTGCACAAAGAAGATGTAGACCCTGATTTAGCTTGCATATATGGCCTGTGAGATATAAGTTTTTCATAATCTTGGCTTCTCATAGTAAAATGGTTGATTGTCAGTTGCCAGAGGACTGAATTTCAAGGTTATCATTTGAGTACTTGCCTCTGTTCCATGGCTACTAGTCTTCATACCAGTTACTGTTCTCCTATTTTTTCAAAATGCATAGTGGTTAAGAAGGGTTGACTTGATTCAGAGTCATTGTCTGATTTCTAGAGTCTTGAAATGAAAATGCAAAGTAGTCCATGAATGACCAGGGTTGAAAGTACTCACATTACAGGCCGGGGCTAGTCACATCTCCTCTGTGACATAAAGGAAAATACAATTATCACAAACTTGTATGGCCACTAGAGCCAGAAAAGGAATGGGTAAGTGTATACTTTTCTTCCAGTTTGAGCTTAAAACAAAATTAAGTAAGAGGCTGTAAAAAAATAGCCTTTCTCATCAGGAACATGTGGTTCATTCGTACCATATGGCACACCTGAACTGGACTCCTGAGATCCATGCAAATGATCACCTCCCTTTCCCTCACTCTAACACATTCAGGGTAGTTTAATCCTTCCTAGTATACTGTGTCCTTGTTGGCCTTAAATACCTTCTTTATAAGCGTGCCTGATTTTTGGAATTGTTTTGTAACTGGAAACTAGTCTCTTTGGGCAAGTGCAAATTATAAACTCTTCACAATGTCCTACCTGTATAATTAAACTACAGAAACATAAAAGCAATTAGGTGGAACATCTACAAAATGAATGAATATTAGTAATCTATGTAATTATAAATACTTTGTCACTCCACTCTCACTGCTTGGATATGTTGATTTTCAATGGAAAAAAAATCAGAGAAAATTTTCCATATTTCCTGACTCCAATCTATTCTTGGCTGAGACTCAAAGCCTTTTCCAGGATCAGAGCATTTGTTTATAACTATAGTTTCTGGCTTGAGTAGAGAAATATTATTTCTGTCCTTCCTTATCTTTTTGCAAACCAATTGAAAAATAAAAAGAATAAGAAGTAGTAATGCAAATTTCCATTTTTGTTGAAATTAGGAAATACTCATCTCTGTAAACATAATACTGTGTGTGGAAAGAGGCTTTCAGATTAGTGAAAACTGTATCAGTGAAGAAGGGCTGGGAACTTTGAATCTCATGGGTGCAGAATTCTCCAGAGTAAATGTCACAACTTTGACTTGAAACAGATCAGGGTGCATGGACTGAGAGCAATGCCCTCCCTGTCAGTACCCAGCAGCTTCAGACACATAAGAAACACAGACACAATCTCAGCCAACTATGAGGGGTGGGTGAAGGATCAACTGCGAGAACAGACATTCCTTTAGTTTCCAAGTCTGCTAAAGAGGAATGAAGGAATTAGCCAGGCACCAAAAAACTCCATTAGGTGGTTTCCCTGGGAAAAGGGAAATAACCAGCCAGTACAGTATCAAGGGTATTGATAAGATTTCTGGAGGCAACAAGCTCAAAGTGCCCACCAGCTCATTTGCCTGGAGCTTAGCCTTACTAGCCTTTCTCAGTTTAAGGATGGACAATATTAAAAAGGAACCAACATATTGACTTATGTGAACATTGCAACATGTTTAAAATTTTAAAAATCTCTAACACACACATGCACGCGCGCACACACACACACACACACACCACCACCACCAAAACACTGCAGAAATTCTACTATAGTAAGTACAAATTAAGACGCCATATTTCTCTGAAAAGCAATCTGGAATCATGCATTATACCAAAATACACATACACTTCATTTCACCTAAGAAATCCTATAGAACTTTTCTGCCCAATATGGTAGCCACTAGTATTTGAAATATGGAATAACTGAGTAACTAAAAATTTAATTTTAAGCTAAAAACTGACACTTATTTTAGTTATTGGAAAACTTTTAAGCATGTTTAGAACAACCTGGGCATATGAATTTATTTTTTAACTTTTAATTTTATGAACTGTAAACATAGATTAAGTATTCCAATAAAAGTTTGGGGCCTCAAATGAAATATGCATTCCAGATTTTGAAGACCTAGTTTGATAAGAATATAAAATATGTAATTGAAATGATATCTTTGCTATTTGGGTTAAATATATTTTATGAAATTTAATTTTACTGTTTTCTTTTTATTTTTTTTAAATGTAGCTATAAGAAAATCTTAAAATGTATATAATTTTCACTGTCTTTCTATGAGTCAGCATGTTATAGGAAACAAAAACATTGGTATGTAAAGAAAATATATACACAATGTTCAAAGTAGAAAACAATATAAAAATAACCCCAAAGGCAAAATCTGGAATTAAAGTGAATGGATGTCCACAGAAGAATGATTTGTTCTCTCTCTCTCTCTCTCTCTCTCCCCCTTTCTCTCTCTCTCTCTCTCTCTGTCTCTCTCTCTCTCTCTATATATATATATATGTATATATATATGATATAGGTATATATGTTATATATTATATCTAATGTATATATATCATACACACACACACACACACACTCACACTATGCTTATAATGAATTAGGCTACAATGAGTTAAAGTTTTTCCAGTAGGATTGAAGAAATATCTACAAACATTATCATGGAAGAAAAGCAAATTAATAGAAATGTCAGTAGCCCAAGTTTTGTAAAACGACTATACCAATCCTCAGTAGATGTCTATGTTTGTAAAATATGGCCTGATATTGAAAAAAAAATATATAGTGACCCTGTTTCGGGTTATTTAACCCAGGTTACCTGTATATGGTGAGTCAGGACAGTGGAAGGGAAAAAAGCAAAGAGAAAAAAATGTGTTAGTTTGCTTTCTGTTACTGAGACCAAACAACTGAGGTAATCAACTCTTAAGGAATAAAGGTTTCTTTTGGATCGTGATTTCAGAGGTTTTAGTCCATGCTTAGGTGGCCCTGTTGTTTTAATCCTGTGGTGGCATAGTACATTATAGTAGGAACATGCGGTGGAAGAGGTTTGTTCACCTCATGATGGCTGGGAAGCAGAAGGAAAGGAAGAGAAAGAGGCCAAGGTCCTAATATCCCCTTTGGGGGCATGCCCCCAAGAACCTAACTTCCTTCTACCAAGCCCCACCTCCTAAAGATTCCACCATTTCCCAACAGTGTCATGGGCTGGGGACCACGCCTTCACCACATGGGTCTTTGGGTAACATTCAAGACCTGAATTATAACATGTGTCCAACTCCATTCCTCCCCCAGTATGTATATTATATCATTTATGTAGAATTGTACATATATGTGTGATACACATACAATAAATAGGGAGAAGGGAAGGATAAAGTTAGAATTATAAATAATTTGCAGGAATGTCCATGTTTATTGCCAACTAAAAAGAAGGAAGTTAAAGATAATGTGTAAATAGAGTCATTCCATTTGTTCACCAACAATAAATCCCCTGCATTCTAATAAACCATTTGTATAAGCAAGGAGAAAGGTGTGTGTGCTAGTCAATTAACAGTGACAGCCTGGGGGTGTGGTACTGGCAGAAGAGCCAGGTAAACAGGGTGGGGAGAAATATGTTTATACAATCTTCATTTTTTATTAAAGATGACTAATTTTACAATTTGAAAACACAAACTTAATAATAAGCAGAGTAGCAATTATGTAAAAAAAACAAGCTTAGAGGAGAGTTACAAATATTTAAAGAATAGTAATGACAAAAGATTTTCTAATTCTTTTTAACTCTTTGGATTCTTCTATTCTATTTCATTCCCGAGGCTCTCTAAAAGCCAACCAATTTTTAAACTCTATCTTTTGTCATTACATAGCCATAGCTGAGAAAGGAGAACCAACATGTGAATTATTGGCAGTGTTGACATATTGTCCTATGTTACAATGAAGCCTGAAACCAAAAAGACATGCAAATATATTTTCCTAAAATAAAGTGTAAAGAATGAAAGGGCATATTGGATCCCAAGAAAAATGGATACAAATAAAAAATTAGAAATATTTTGGTATATTTACTTCAAGGATAAAGAGTCCTTTGAGATCACTCCTTCACATCTAACAACCCAAAACCAAAAGAACAGCAAAACAACACAACTGTTTACTCATGATTTTTTTTTTTAAAAATAATAACTTCTGTGGATGAACAGAGGAAAAAAAAAAGAAACAAATTGCTTAAGGTATCAGAACTTTGTCACATTCAGAGTCTCTTCTCTGTGAGTCACTTTTTGACTCAGAGGCATTGGTGTTTTCTCACACAATGTGTTCTTTGGAATATTAAGAGCATCAGTGATGAGCATGTCATTAAAGGAAAGCACCATCATCTCTGACATTTTCTGAGACCCAGTTAGGAAATTTGATGTTGACACCTCTCTGGTCAATGGAAATATTAATGAAGTTGTTCAGATCTGAACAAGAACTTATTTTTCTTCTTGATTAGTCCTTATATGGCTTTTTTTTTTGAATGAAGATTGCTTTCCAGTCTTGTCACCAGGAATATTACTAAATTTGCACATGAATAGACCTACCATTATGTCCTGTAACAAGTCGACTCCTTGAAGGAAGAATAGATATCATGTACTCTGTAGTATCATATTATTCTTGTAAAATACTCACCATCCTTCTCTTTGATAGGATAATTCATCTATGGTCACAGACATTATATTTCCCATAGGACTTCTTCTGGGTAATGGAATATAGGGCAAGTGAATGGTGTCACTTCCACTAGCAGAAATTTTAAGAACCATCATGTTATCCCTACCTTTCTTTTCCCTCTCTAACACCAGCATGCCTCACACAAAGGCTGCTTCTTTAGCCTGCATCCTGGAAATTAAGAAAATATAGATTAAGCCAAAGTTGACCATTACAAACATAATATGAGTGAAAGATAAATTTAGCTACAACTTTTTGTGATTGTTTGTTACTGCAGTATAACTTAACTTAAACTGATTGATACAACTTTCCAAGATTACAGAATTTAAATCCTTATTCTGGTATGGTCTACATGCTTTTCTGAAGAAATCTGGATTTAGGTAGGACCTCTGGATGATAGCCAATCAGTAGGTGTTTGCTGATCAGCCTTCCTTTTGGGTGAAATTCAAGTTCAAATTATTTCAGGGAAGTTAGGGTGAATGCAGAGTGATGTCACCTGAGATGTATTTAAAACAAGTCACTCTGGGCCCATTTAGCATACTAAGAAGATATGGCTGAGTCACAGCCGTGTTGTTGAGAGCTATTGTTTAAACCTGTATTGTCATGAAATGCCTTAAAAACGTAAGGTTAGAAGACACTGTTGAGAGTGGAGATGATACCTCAGTTGGAGACATCATAGTAGGTGATAGTGTGGAGAAGGTGTGTTGGGGAGGGAAGGGAAGCAGGGAGATGTTATAGCTCTGGAAGGTTCACTCTTAATTTTTCTTCTTTCCTTGCAAATAAACTTGATTCCATGATTAAATTTATTAATCCATAGACAATAGCTCAACATCTTCACTCAGAGTTCCAATGGGGAAGTGGTGGAATTCAAAATGTGTCAGGGATCCAACTGCAGTTCAGTGTTGGTGGATTCAACAATTTGCAGCAGCCCTTCACAAAGTACAGGTTGTAGTTTCCTCCTGGGATGACCTCACCAGGCTCCTTGGCAGTAGTGCTGGTGGAAAGTAGAATGAAACCATTAGTTGAGCCTTGTACAGCAGAAACAATGGGTGAGCAGAAGGTGACACATTAAAAATGTCACAGGAATGGGACACTGTGGTGCATCCTTCTTGCATTCCAGAAACTCAGGAGGAATAAGTTTGAAGCCAGCTTTAGCAACTTAGTGAGACTCTCAACAGCTTAGTGAGACCCTGTCTCAAAATAAAAAATAGAAAGGGCTGGGGATATAGCTCAGTGCTAAGGCACCCCTGGTATCTGTAACCACCCTCCCCCTCTGCCAAAAAAAAAAAAAAAAAAGCAAGGCACAGGGCAGAAATCTGATTTTTTCCCCCTCACATTCTGGTTAGGGTGAGTTAAAGACAGTTACAGACAGGCATGGGGGAATTAATTTTGGCTCTCAAATTCTGTGTGACTTCAAGGATTTTTCCTATTTACCAGAAGAAGCAGAGATAGAATCAATCTTTGTAATGCACCTGCACATAAAAGAGAGCTTCTGGGATGGTGGGGATACTGATTTTGTGAGTAGAAATCATAGAAGGTAGAGATGGCTGCATGGGCCCCTGGTGTCCTCTTATCCACTACAGTCTATCACCATGTTGTCAGATGGATAGTCTTGATCCCCTTGGAAGGGAGGCAGTAGCGGGTGGAGCATGGGTGGATGGGCATGAATTATCTTTGTGGGTAGATGGGCATGAATTATCTTGGTTGTGCTGGCACTAATTTTTCTTGAGTGGACATAACCTCCCTAAGCCTCTGCTATATCAAATGCAAAAAAAGAAAAAAAAAGTAATAGTGCTCAACATACAGTGATTGCAAGTTTTAAGTGACATAATTCATATGAAGTGACAGATGTATAGCTGGGTACATATTAAATACTTGAGCAGTACTACTGAGAATTTTAGTTCCTAGAAAAGTCAAAGTGAAACATTGATGTAATTGATGTTCAGTCTTATGTTAAAATAAGAGTTATAAAAGTAAGTGGACAAAGTCTTAAGATTGGATTTGACTATTAATAAGCAAGTATAGAGAAGTTATAATCAAGAGTACAACACCTGAGGAGACTAGCACAGGAGTGGAAGGGAGGAGGAAAGGGGAAGGGAAGATATTGGGAGTGAAATCGACCAGATTATATTGTTATAATGTGTGTGTGTACAAATATGTAACAATGAATTCTACTCATGTATAATTGCAGTGTACCTATAACAATATAAAAATTAAAGAAAAATAGTTTCATTAACAAAAATTGCAATACCTGCTCAACAGACTTTGGCAACAAGACACCACTGTGGTTGCATTGCTAGGTAAACTGGAGCTGAAGGCATTCTCTAAAATGTGATGGCAGTTGATGTCCTCAGGGGTGCCAGAGAGTATGCCTAGAAGTGGAACAGAGTGCCATTTATTTTCATAATTAGTGAAGTCACCGAACTCTCCTTCTGTTCTAAGCTTCTCCCCAGCCGCCTCCATACCACACATTTAAATTTACAATATGCTTAATGGCAGCTCTGACTCTCAGCTTTCTGCAGCAGCATATGCTGCATATAAGGATTGGGGACCTTGCTTTCCTGAAAGCTGCCTTCCGTAGGCACCCAGGACACAAAGGATGGGATGTAGTACCTGCGACACAGGCTGTCATGAAGCAAGCAACGGTCCCTGAGATCAGAGCTCTTATTCCTCCAGCAACGATGTCCCGCTTTCTGCCAGGAGCTAGAGAGGCTGGGAGACATGAAAGGAGCTGTTTGAGTTTAATGTTGATTCTACTGGTTAGAAATCCAAATTTGTAGCCTCTAAAAAGTGTTCTGATATTGGAGTTTCAGGTCAGTTGGAAAGAAACAAGTCCTTAGTTTTATCCAAAGGGCTCAGAGAGCATGGAGAGCATGGCAAATCAAAGGGGATGCACGGAGGGATCCATTGATGAGATGGTCTGACATGGTGACTCAGAACTGTGACCGACTATTTCCATGCCTGTGGGAGACATCACTCATAAATCACAGCATTTTCCCACCAATCTTTGATTGGTCCCCAGAATCCTTCTGCAGGGAGGTATTATAAATCCAAACATAATGGTACACGCCTGTAATCCTAGCTACTCAGGAGGCTGATGCAGTAGGATAACAACTGTGAGACCATCCCGGACAACTTAGCAAGGTTCTGTCTCTAAGCAAAAAAATTAAAGGGCTGGGGGTATGGCTCAGTGGTAGAGTAACTCTGGGTTCAATCCACCACAAAATAAAAATCAATCAGTCAATCTTCTGGTGTTAGTATACAAGTGAAACTTCTGGGTTACTTTGGGTTGGGAGAGGCATCTGTAAGTTTGAGGATATTGTTTCTGAGGCTAGTTTGGGTGTACAAAGGAAATCTATCTTGTAGAGTGGGGATAAAAAATAGACCCCAGAGGATTTTCTACTATCGAGGGTAACTTTTCTCCTGACATGAATATCATTAGAGTTAGATGGAGTTCCAAAGTATTTTTATGTTACATCTGTTGTAGAAGAATATCTTTTCACTTACCAAGTCCACCGATCATCATTCCTAGGGAACCAAAGTTGGCAAACCCACAGAGGGCATAAGTGGCAATTGTCTCAGAACGAATCTGCAAGCAAGCATAAACACCAATGGATCCATGACCTGACCCAGCCTAAGAAACCTGACATCCCAACTTGGCTTTGTATTTTGACTACAGAATTGATATTAACAAATAAATGCACAGCATATAGTGGCAAATACCCATTGTTTCCTGGGCAGTTTTTACCACCTCCCCTTGAATTTTTTTTAAGAGAGAGAGAGAGAGAGAGAGAGAGAGAATTTTAATATTAATTTTTTAGTTTTCAGCAGACACAACATCTTTGTTTGTATGTGGTGCTGAAGATCGAACCTGGGCCGCACTCATGCCAGGTGAGCGCACTACCACTTGAGCCACATCCCAGCCCTCCCCTTGAATTTTGAGAGAGGGTGAAGAGGGCTGGAGATTCAAGAAATGCTCTACAATGGACTTCGAATTGGTGGCCTTGGTTTCTAAAAATGCTACTTCCTGCTCATTGATAATTTCCAATATTCCATAGGACCTGGCCACCTGCTACAATGTGCCAGGTGTAGTACTAGTTGGTGGAGATACAAAATTGGTCCCAGAAAATATTCACATTACATTTATTTGACAAAGAACTTATTCAAAATATATAAAGAACTGCTATTACTCGATAAGAAGACAAATACCCAAGGAAAAATGGGTGGAGAGATTTGCATACTTCACAAAAGATGCAAATGAACAAGAAGCTCATGAAAAGGTGCTCAACATCATTAGCCACCAGGGAAATGCAAATGAAAAACAATGAGATACCACTATACATTTACTAAAATGGCTAAAGTTTAAAAAGACTGACAATACGAAGTATGGCAAAATTACAATGCAACGGAAACTCGTGTAAGTATGGCAAAATTACAATGCAACGGAAACTCGTGTATTGCTGGTAGGAACGCAAAAGGACACAGCCATGCTGTTTTATGGCAGATTCTCATCAAGTTAATACATGCTGCCTGTATGAACCAGCAATTTTCCTAAGAGAATTATAAAAACATATGACCCCCCAAATACTGTACATGAATATTTATAACAGCTTTACTCTTAATAGCCCCACACTTAAAACAACTCAAATGTCCTTCAGTAGGAAAATGGACACAGTATGAATATCTATAAAATAAAATGCTGCTCTGCAAGAAAAAGAAAATGGAAGTAATATATACAACAACATGAATGCTGAATGCTTATTGAAAGCCAAAAATAATCGACAGTGAAAGAAAGATCATTGGTTGCCTGGGACTAGGTCTTCATGGGGTTGTTGACTACAAAGGGTCTAGAGGAAAATTAAGAAATAATATTAGTAAAAAGAAATTCTCATATATCACAGGGGCTGCCGTCTAGTCTGGCCACAGTGTGTGCTTCCCTTTCTTTCCCAGTTCTGGTCATACCACGGACATGTTTGGATGCCCATTTGGAAGCAAGAGAAGGAAGAAAGGTACCTACATCATTGGGACAATAATTTTTTTCCAGTATCCTAAAACATCTATGATTTGGTTCAAAGAACAAACCAACCATGCTACATTCACTAGTAATACTTTATTTTTTTCTTGTGCTAACTGGATTTTTAAAAGCTCACACTTAAGATTGAAGTGCTTGTGGTAAGTTTTTGTTGACTGGAAGGCCCCTCTTCTATCTCATAGTTTCTGAGAACTTCTTTGTTATTTTCAAACAGTGTGCAAACAGCAGGGAGGAAAAATAATATTGAGTATTTGCACAGTCTACTGTTCCTGGAAAAGCTCATCCTCGTCCCCTGCTCTTTCTAGTGCTTTTCATTTAGTTCAATTGGCTTCAAAATAGCCACGCTTATTAAGAGACTGAGGAGGGAGATGGCATGAAGGACTTATGACTCTTCTTTTCCCTGTCTGGGGATTGTGGGGCAAAGGAATACACAGATGTGGCCAAGTATGGTTTTATAAGAAGAGGAAAGGGAGGTTGGGATGATTCAATTTGGCCTTTGTCCACCTATGTGAAAGATTCAAAATGGAAAAGGATGTACTGCATTACAAAATTCACGCTACAGCTCTTCTTGAGTGCAAGCAAAGATGCTACACATACAAGGACAGCCACCATGGCACTACTTCTAATAGCAAATTGCTAAGTGTTCATCAGCAATGTCAAAATGCCTCTGATTGAGAAGTGTAATCAGTGGTCCTGGAATAGGCTGTTGCTAACTTGTGTGACATGTGGGACACAATTCAATTAGTATGACTGGTCTTTGGGCAGCTGGAAGGGGTGGTGTTGGTGTTGGGGGTGAACAGTATCAATACTTGGGCAGCCTGCTTTCCCTCCTTTGCCTTTTAAAACCCAATATGAACCTGGGACATTAACCACAAGTAGGTTATAGAAATGGTGGTGGTCAAAAATATTCACTATTGCCTGAATGGAAATAGTTTAGTTTCCACTATGACAATTCTATTGTTTGGGGGGTAAGAAGTTGGAGATTCAGCTACAAATACAGCCTCATCCAATTTCCTCATTCCACCAAAGTCCAGGCAGACATGAGCATCTCTTTGTAGGCTGTTGCTCTGAAGTTGACATGATTATGAGGCATTTAAATCAAGGTTTTCAGATCATAGACCTGAGTTTTTTCTTCCCTGTCATCCCCCTGGATGGTAATAATGCATCTTACCATCTCTTGATGGTGGCCAGGCACCATTTTGCATTTAGGCAGTTTCTCAGAGCTCATAAAATTCCTTCCCCTGGAAGGAAGAGGGCTTTGTGATCATTAGACTATGGGCTCCATGAGGGTAGGACCTGTTATAATTTGAATCATGAATGACCCCCAAAGTTCCATATGTTAAAGGTTTTGGTCCCCAGTTGATGGTGCCTTTGGGAGATGGTGGAGCCTTTAAGAGGTGGGGTTTTGTGGAAGGAATCTAGGTCATTGGAGGCATGTCTTTGAAGGAGAAATTGGGACCCAACCCCACCTCTTCCTCTCTTTTTGCTTCTTGGCTCCCATGAGGTGAACAGATCTCCAAAGCTATATACTTTTGTCATGATATACTACAGGCTCCAAAGCAATGAGACCAACAGACTATGGATTAAAACCTCTGAAATCATAAGCCAATATAAAACTTTCCTCCTTAGAAGTTAATCATCTCAGGTATTTTTCCACAAAGATGCAAAACTAACAGAGCAGTGACTTGTTCAGTACTTGGTCTTGGTATGGAACATATTACACATAGAAGGCATTCAATAAATACTTTTGACTGATTGGTTTCAGTCTCAGCTCCTGTGTCTAAAGGTTTTGTCTGCAGTCTTCAAAAGTAAATTATCACTGATATGGATGAGTGTTTCTCTCTCCTCTGTTCCCCCTACACACATACACACACACACACATATGCACACATGATTAATTCAATATAGTTGAAAATAATGAAGTGCCATGTACATTATGAACTCCACAAGATTAAGGATTTTTGATTTGTTTTGTTCTCTGGTATAACTCAAGTGCCTGGCATAGTGTCTGATGCACAAAGGCACAAGTCACTAGATGACAAATGAATTTAGGTGAAGAAGTACACGGAAAAATCAGACAATTTACTCACTGACATATATTGCTGAGTGCCATTCACAAATTTAGGTCCAGCCTGTTTCCTCAAGTTGATCAATTGTGAGAGTTGCTCATAAGCCACAAATTCATTGAAGAATGTCTTATAACCTATGAGTCTGCCAACCATAAAGCTGTCTTGCCAGTCCACTCCCATCATGAAGGAAAAGGGCATGAAGATGTAGGAGCATATTAGCTGCAAAACCCAGAATATATTTGGTTAGAACAGGCATTTGCTTCTAGTTCTTTTGCCTCATTCTCTCAACAAGATTGTTCCTGAATCCTCTATCTCTTTTAGACACAAGATATCCCCTCATATTCTGTTTCCCATCATTATATATCAGGAGTTGCTATGGTTTAAATATGGGTTCATCCTTACCAAAACTCCTGTTGAGGTTTGGTCCTCAGTGTAATGCTGCTGAGAGATGGTAGAGCCCATCAGATGAATTAATATCTTTCCCAAGAGAGACTGGATTAGTTTTTTCTGGTATGTAGTAGTTCTCAAGAGAGTATGTTGTTATAAAGTGGGTGAGCTCCTTTGTCTCCCCTCTCCCTCTCTGCACATGCCCATTTGCCCTTTCTATGTTTCTACTATACAGGGTACAAACAATAGCCCTCACTTGAAGTTGGTCAGATGCAGCCACTTGACCTTGAATTTCTAGCATTCAGAACGTGAGATAAAATATACTCTTTTCTTTATAAATTACCCAGACAGGCATTTGTTATTGTAACAAAAAGCAGACTAAGACAGGAGTCAAGGCTGGAATTGGGTGCTTTGAAGCAACCTGGAATCTTGGGGGTGGAGTCAGGAGCAAATGACTGTCTGGAGGAAGGAGGGTGGTAGGAGAGGGTGGGGTTGGGAAGATGGGGGAAGCCCGCTGAGGAGTTTCTGCAGTTTGTGAGAGTACACCGCGGGTAGTTAGGGAAGGCTGTACACAAACTTAAACAAGGATAGAAACAAAACAGAAAGCAGAAGCATGATGGAATTATACCTCGAAACTCAGCTGTGGGTAGTCAAACATGTTTCCAAACCAGGACAGGCATGAATTCACAAAAGACAACAGGGCCAAGAAGGCAATCAGATTCACAGCGATGCTTGCCAGCAGAGGGATAGATGCGGATGCTCCCTGTGTTGCAGCTTCTAGGAGATTCCTTGAATCACTTTATAAAAAGATAGCAATTCCAGAGTTACCACAGATGCAGAAATGGCAGAAACAGACCTCATTTGAGTGAGAGGCAAACATTTAGATCTCTACCTTGGTCAAAATACTCATCTGAATCCCATGAAATCATGATGTTGAATATAGGTGGTGAGCATATTGGCATCTAACTATTATCCTTTTTAATATTTTTTTTTCATGATGCTGGAGATTGAACTCAGGGCCTCACACATGCTAAAACTTGTGCAATCATTGAGGTGCACCTCCAGCCTCAATATTGCTTTTTAAATTTGGGGCATTTATAATAAAAATTGGAAAATGATTAAAAAGTAGAGGTTTAGAATTTTTAATTGAAAGTAGCTACCAGACAATATTTATAAAATATTCATGGTATAAAGAGTAATAATTTTAGAAGGCCTGTATAGCTGTCACCTCATTTACAAAATGGAATGTCCCATCACCTTTTGTTATGGTTTGGATACAAGATGTCCCCTGAAAAGCTCATGTGTTAATGCTAGAATGTTCAGACTTGAAGTGATTAGATTATGAGATTTGTAACCTCATCAGTGGTTTAATCCATTTGATGGATTAATAAGTTGAATGGACTACTGGGTGGTCACTGTAGGTGGGTTGGTAGTATCTGGAGGAAGTAGGATGCTGGAGGCATACCCTTGGGGAAAATAGGTTGTCACTAGTGTCTCTATTTCCTGGATGCCATGAGCTGAATGTTTTTCCTCCACCAGCCCTTCTGCCATGATGTTCTGCCTCATCTTGGGTCCAGAGCAATAGAGTCTGCTGACCATGGACTAAATGTCTGAAACCAAGAACCCAAAATAATGCTTTCCTTCTCTAAGTTGCTCTTGTCAAGTACTTTGGTATGCCTATAAATTCTCCAGTGTGTAATCTTATCCCCTCCCTACTCTTCTAATCTCAGAGGTTCCTGCCTCCCTCAATTCTGATTATCATTCCCTTTCTTTACAATTTTCCCACATACTTTATCTCTAAATGATACATCTTCAAATATGCAGGCTTACTAACTTCATAAGTGAAATCATTCTACAGGTTGAATATCTCTTATCCAAAATGTTTGGGACCAAATGTGTTTTAGATTTTGGAATATTTGCATATACATAATGAGATACCTTGGGGATAAGACCCAAGTCTAAATAACAAATTAATTTGTTTCACATATACCTTATACACATGGACTTAAAGTTTTTATGTTATATTTTAAACAATTTTGTGCATGAGACAAAGTTCAATGGTATGGACTTTTTCACTTGTAGTGTTAAAAGTTCTAGATTTTGGATTTTAGAATTTTTGATTAGGAATGCTTAACCTTTACTGTATTCTTCAGCAACTTTGCTTTTCCACTCCCGATTATGACTTGATTTTCCTACAAATAAGGGATGACTCTTCGATACATCATGGTCCATGAATTATTATTTAATGAAATACTTCTGAACATTTAAAATCTTATAGTTTTTCCCACCCCTTTTTCTTTCTTTTTCACAGGAAAAAAGAAGATGAACTTTCTTGTTATATAAAGCAACTCCAGAAATGCTCATCCTATGGCTTTCTAACACCTTTAAACAAAAGCTCAATGAACACTATGCTGTATTTACAATAAAATATATTTATGATGAACAGTTAAAGAAACGTATTGGAATTCAGGTATTTAGAAAGGTTTTCCTGAAGTGTTGAGAAAGATGTTTTTTGGTAAAGTCTGATCAGAGGAAATTAAATCTACTTTAATATCATAATCCACTCTGTGCTTTCTCTCTATCAAATTTTTGCTGTTTTGAATTTGGACTTTCATGCTCCAACTTGTGTAGTCACTGTTATGGTTTGGATCTGGAATGTCCCCAAAGGCTCATGAGTTGGAAGCATAATCCCTAATACAATAAGGTGTTTGCTGGATTGCACCACAGGTGGTACCTAGTTGGAGGAAATAGGTCACTGGGGGTGTGCCCCAGAAAGACTTATCTTGTCCTGAGCCCTTCCTCTCTTCTCTATTTTCCCCACTGTCATGAGCTGAACAGCTTTCTTCCACTATGCCCTTCAGCCATGATGTTTCTGCCTTGGAGTCAGCTGACCATGGACTGAATCTTCTGAAACTGTGAGCCAAAATAAACCTTTCCTCTTCTAAGTTGTTCTTGTCAGGTATTTTGATCATAGCAAATGAAAACCTGACTAACGCAGTCACTGATTAGGTAACATGTCCCACTTACCCATTTTCCACTTTCATGGCATTCTTGAGGGTTATTTTAGGTTTTTCTGTCTCAGGCCAAAAGAGTTTAGCAACAGCCAATGATGCAGGTGCTGACATAACTGAAGCTGTTAATAAGTGGGTGGATGAAACCTGAAATTTCAGAAGAAAGCAAGCAAACAAGCTGAACTTTACTCTTATATTCAGAAAAAATGATTCAAAAGCCTTATAGGGAAGAGATGGAACAGGAGTCAATTCTATGCCAGAAAGCAATGCTTCTTTGGAGGTTTGGAAGAGCAACTTTTGTCCATGAGCCAAGCCATGGCATCACCCTGAGAGTTAGAGGGACAGAGAATAAATTCAAGTTAATTGGCCACATTCTTGAAGGAAAAGCACAAAGCCCAAATCTGATCATTTCAGAAGATAAGTAATAGTGAATTTTACGAACTCTCAAAGAAGACTCCTCAGCCTCTATGTTATCTTTTTAAATGACATAAAGTCCCTTTAGCCTATATTTCATTTCATCATCAATTTAGATGGGTTATCTGGGGTGGACTGGCATGGAGACAGGATTCCTAATCTATGTAAAGGCATGATATTCCCCCTCTCCACCTTCCTTTTGCTCTCCTGTAATCCTTTGTGTCTTTACACAATATGCTTTTATCCAGAGTCCCTTTGATTCTGTAAATTATTTCTGTTTTCCTTGTGACAAGTTTACTCTTTCTCCTTCCCACTCCACATACTTGACATTGCTTCTGGATTCTCTTCCCTACATTTTGAGAATCCCATATCCAGTGTCTCCCTCTGCATTCCTATAACACCTATCCCATTATTTTCAAGTTAAAGATGGAGTTTCATTTTTAAAAGTTTTTTTGTGCATTAAATTTTTACATAAAAGTGGGATTCATTGTGATACGTTCGCACATGCACATAACATGATGATCATTCTCATTCCCCAAGACCCCTCCTTTCCCTCCATTTCTTCCTCCCCCTGATACTCTTCCTCCCCCATCCCCTCCATCTTCTCTACAGATATTCCTTCTATTATTATTATTTTTAAATTAGTGCACTATAATTATACATAAAGTGGGTTTCATTGTGGTACATTTGTAGATGGACATGACATAATTTGACATCATTCCCTAGTACCTTCCCTTGCCCTTTACTTCCCTTGCCCTCTATTCCTTTGGTCTCTCTTCATTTTCATGAGAGCCTTATTTATTGATTTATTTTTCTCTGTATCTTCCACATATGAAAGTAAACATTCAATCCTTGACTTTCTGAGTCTGACTTATTTCACTTATCATGATATTCTCCAGTTTCATACATTTACCAGCAAATTACACAATTTCATTTTTCTTTATGGCTGAGTAGAACTCCATTGTGAGTGATATATATATATATATATATATATATATATATATATATATATATATATATATATATAATATTCTGATTTCAGTTCTTTAAGATAAATACCAAGGAATGGGATAGCTGACCTAGCCCATTTTTAAAGGCAGCATTCCCACAGTAGGGGCAGAGTGAATAATCTAGGGATCCATTCATATTGCTTATCTCTAATATATCCTTCACTTTTTTCTTCTTCCTTCTTTCTACTAGTTGGCTGTCCCCAGCTTGAATGAAGAATCTGGAATGAAACTCACTTGTCTTGCAAGAGATCCTAGTCACCCGAATCACAGAGTATTGCTTGTACGATTAGGTTTCTCTGCCAAGGTCTATGTCAATGTGTGGCTTATCAGCCTATGCACAGAGCACAATATTGGCTATCACAGCATTCTCCAGACCTACACCATAGGCCACTAGCTTATGGCTTTCAGTTGAAATCTGAGAAGTTTTAAAAATACTGATGGCTGGGCCTCACCCCAACAAATTTTGTTTAGTTAACCAGGGCTATGGGCCTGGGAATTAGGGTCTTTGAAAATTTATAGGTGATTCTAATGTGCAGTAAGGTTTGAGAACAACTGCTGTAGGTCAAGGTTCCAAAAATCTGTTTTGAAAAGGTCATAGAGTAGATAATTGTGGTTTTGCAGGCCACAACTATGCCAAAGACAAATAAATAGGAGTACCTGGTTTCTAATAAAACTTTATTTATAAAAATAAGTTATGCTCTGGATTTGGCCAATCATCCATAGTTGGCTGACCCCTGTTAAAATCTTTACTAGTAGTAGTAATAGTTTTTATTTTTTTTAAAAAACAGACTTAAACTTCTAGTCAAAGTAACCTCATCATATGATTTCTATTGCTGTGGTTGGAAATAATTCACATTTAGGAGGCAAGAACATGAAAGTGAAGACCCCAAACTCCTTGGGTCACTATATTCAAATGCCAAAGAAAACTGACTAACTTTTGCCATACTACAAAAAAGGCACTCTCTTGGCTTCCTTTTACACTGGCAATGGGAAAGAAAAAACGAAGGAAAAACCAAATAAATAACAATATCAAAGAAAGAAGAGGTTGAAATTTGCATAAGTTAATTCCAAAACAGTCTTACTCCAAAAGAAATGTATGCACCCAAGACACTTCCAGCAATTGTAGCAAAGCCAGCAGTCATGATGGCATGGAGTTCTGACCTGGTGATATATGGTAAATATGGTCGGACCAGCAGTGGAGAGTCTGTCTGAAGAAAGAGAAGGATAATTGGATTAAATGTGACCTTTAAAATATTAGAGGAGGAGTGTAATCAGCACAACATTTCATTACCTAAATCCGTATTTCTAAGAGTCAGCCTTGAACCAACTCCATCAGCATCACTTGGGAATTGTTAGAAATTCAAATTCTTTGACTTATGGAATCAGAAACTCTGGGGGTAGGGCCAGCAATTTGTGTTTTTAAAAGTCTTCCAAGTAATTATGAGACTTGCTCAAGTTTGAGAATGTCTGGGTCATCTGAGCTCTAGGTCATTGTCATATATGGTCATGGGTAAAGCCTGACATTTGTGAAGCTAGTTATAGGGTGCCTCCATCTAGCATAGACTGGATTCTATGAGGATTAAGGGCTGACCAAGTAACTGCCCAGTGGTCTGGCTCGTGGACTGTGGAATTCTCGTGGTCCGTGACTTTTCACCATTTAGCTTCATCTAGACAGACTCAACCTGTTTCTAAAGACTTCAGGAAAATAAGAGACAGGTGTATTAAAAAAATACCAGCAATTACAAAGAAGGTACCCTTAGGCACTTTTGTAATTGAAACTCAGATGATCCCTCTCTGATGGGTAGAAAGGAACTGGACAGAGTGTAGTTATAAAGACTCAAATCTCATTAAGGAGGGCAGCCTGCCTGCCCTGTAGGGATCTCCATCAATAATAGCTGTGTTTTCAGCATATTAAGTATCAAATTAAGTACTATAGGAGCATGGGTGCAATTTTACACTTTTATCCTTATTATTTCTAATTGTTATATAAGACTGAATGCATTGAGCCTCAGTTTATAGACTAAATAGGAGTCCAAATACGTGAGCCTTCTTATCCTGCAGGTAGTAGCAATCAACTCAAGATGGTGCCCTAATTAGTCCTGAGAGATTTTATGACTGTAATTATTATAATTTCAACTCATAGGGGAAGGAAATATGTTTCATCTATATCCACTAAAGAGCTCCAGGCTGGTGAGCTGGGCTTACCAAGAAGGCTCAGTCTTCCTGGAGAAATTGGAGCAGTAGGAAGCCTGGCATTTGGAGCTGTGTTTCACTGGGTGACTGCATTTTTGCTTCAAGTCCAATTTTTCTGGACAGTGGTTCTGGCCAATATTCACCCTTGGCTTCATTGGTGCATTATTCCATTCTCCCTGAAGCTATATATCCTGAGGGATGAGTAGCTTATTACCATTCCTCACTTTTCCACCTCTTAGGAATACTGCTATTTTGAGGGACATCCTTGGCATCATATTTCTTTGCTTAAATGGATTTCAGGCAAAAGAGCATTTATCCCTGTGATGGATCAAGGAAGTGAAATTTGTAGCCCCAAAGTATATCTTTAATGAGAAGAAAAAAAAACATAAAGGCATTTTATACTCATGCTCAGCAAAGACAGAATGTTGGCCAGTTTGGACAAGTTGAGAATGAGAATTATTCATACAGCTGCATGGTTGTTGGCAAAAGGCCTTTGTTGGTTTTCTTTACTGCCACAGGCATTGCAGTGTAGAATACAAGGCTGTCTTTTACATGTTTACAGCTTTAAGACAGTGGAATCCATTTGAGGAGATGAGCTGCTTGTTTCTGAAGAGTCAACCAGAAACCTCAACAATTCAATGAACTCAGAAAAGACTGTAGAGAGAATTTGTATATGAGAAGCCCTATGCTTTAATAAAATATCTCGACTTTTCTTCACAACTTACAGGAACCCAATTCCATACCAGTATATCTAAACACTTGGGAGGTAACTTTCTTTCCTCTCTTTCTGGAATCTGGACATTGCCAAAATTAAGGGTCCCTTATTTACATCTTTTTTTCCACACTAAAAGAAATGACAATACCATGGTATTTTCCTATTCTGAGTTTCAGAAAGAGACTATCCATTTAGTAGATGTCTTGTATTGCTTGCTTTCTTGGTATTGCAACTTACGTGTCCAACAAATATATTGCCAGCAGCAACTACAGACTCAATAGGAGATGAGCCCATAGTAACAAGCATTATCCATCCGATCTAAAAGGAAGAAAGGGACAAAGTCAGTGATGAGCTATGTCTATATAATAAACTTCAGAGTGGGGTAACGTTTTTGAACTGGAGTAAAATATTGAGGCCTTCAATAATCATGGGCAGGTTGGTGATGGTGATAAATGTATGTATAAACCATCTAGCCCATAGAGCAGGCTGATCAAATCCTCCTGTAAGGGTGGTAAGTCTGAGTCATTGTATAGACTTTTGAACATTAGACAAATGATTTCTACAGATATGCTTTATAAAAGTAATAAGTGATATTTGTTAACACTTATGGTGGGCTTTTCTGCACTCTAGGCACTGTTGTAAGCCCTTGACCTAGGAAATGCATTGAATCTTTACTTTTTGAAGTATGTCCTATATATTATGCCCATTTGACAGAAGTGGAAACCAAAGTACAGAATAGTTGTTTTGTCAAAGAAAGTGGTTTTGTCAACTATTAAATAGTGAGATGTAGTTGAAGTTTGGCTTTTTCTGATTAATTCAAATGAAAGTGTTTTATGGATCCTACTGTGATAATTTGAATCTGAAATGTCCCCCAGAGCCCCATGTGTTAAAGGCTTAGTCTCCAGACTGTATCACTATCAACTGGTGGTGAAAACTTTAAAAGGCCATGCCTGGCGGGAGATCTTAGGTCACTGCCATTGGGAGATATTGTGGAATCTCAGTCATTTCCTTTCCCTTTTCACATTCTGGTCATCAGGTGAGCAGGCATTCCCTGCCCCAAAGCAGCAAGGCAAATCAATCATGGACCAAAACTTCCAAAACTGTGAGCCTAAATAAACCTTTCTTCTATAGAAGTTGATTATCTCAGATATTTATCATAGTAATGGAAAGGTGACTAATAAACCTTTCAACCAGTGACCATGATACCTATCTCAGGATGCAGACTTCTTGTTAAATTCTATTTCCTTTTTTTCCACTTAGCTATATGAGTACGGTAATTCTTTTTTAAAAAACATTTACTTTTTGATATTATTTATTAGCATGGGAAATGGCTACATTGAATAGTGGTTGGAAAAGCAAGATGTAAAATGATGTATAATTTCATTGTCAGTTATATATAACATTATCTACATGCATTTATGATACAATAAAGACTTTTATGATCATTTTTTAACATATTTGTATTTGTTTTTAAGGCTTTCTCTCTCTTTCTCTGTAAGATTATTTCACACAAGCACTATATACTTTCTTCTTATTTTTAAAAATTGCTTTATTTTGGTTCTGGTGAATGAACTCATGACCTTGTTATGCTAAGCAGGGTTTCTACCATTGACCTTTTTTTCTCCTTTAAAAAAGCAGTTATTCCTGTGCATTTTCCAAAGATTCTAAGCAGATACATATTATCATCAAATAATATTATTATCAGAATTTTAAAAATTTGGATTCTAAATGTGAGTGCAGTAATTCTGAATATATAAACCAATAATCAGGAAATTATGAGTACTGGAGCTCACTGTGATTGCAAATTCTGCTGGTATTCTTATTCTTTCTTTCTCTCTTTCTCCTGTCTTTTCTCTTTCTGGTTGTATATTTTGATTTATTTACAGGAATCAAAGGAAGGCTGTGGTTGTCCCTCAAGCCCTGTGTGCATTGGTCTGCTTCCATGTGCATCCAAACTAGCTTACAAATATCTAGTTTTCTGATCTGACATGAGAGTAGAACTCAATTGCTGGAGCAGCAAGAATGAGTTTAACTCTTACATTTTAAAAAAAAAGTGTGCTTATAAAACTCCCCCACCCCCAGAGTGAAAAGCACTTCGCTTTCCTGCTTTAATTTCTCTAGCAACTCTAAGATGAGGCATACCTACTCTGGTAACTTTCTAAAGACAAGTTGTCAGTATGTATGAGGCCTAGTGTAGGTAACTGTGAGGAGGGATTAACACCACGTCCCCCTGGCAGGTATTTGACCTCAATTGCTTGGTTAAAGACGTAACTGCTATGGTTTCATGGAGTTATCCAGTGGGTTGTAAATCAAAGCCCTATTAGAAGACCCTGAGATAAAATTCCCCTTAGGGCACGTGCAGGATTTGGCGTTTCAATGTAATAACTTTGGTGATGGAGGTGAATATTTGTAGGAAGAGAAAGGCACTTTAGAAATGCCTGGATAAAAGGCATTTAAGATTTTGTACCTGAAATAATCAACTCTGCACCTGTCACCTTGTATGTCCCAATCCCAGTACCTTTCTGATGATCCACTGCATCAATCCCATGTAGTAGAACATGGACGTCACAGTGCTGAAGAAAATCACAATTGGCAAGACCTGGGGATGGGGGAACAGAGTTAGTTATGGGTCAGTGGTGACCCCAATAATATTGCAGGTTTACTATTAGGTCTCCTCTCTGCCTCCTGTCTCCATCAGAGACACCATAACAATGCTGGAAATGCCTCTTGAACTGACAACCCTTTTACCAGGCAGCTTCCCTCTCTAAGTCCCTTATTCTAATTTCTTCTAGATAGGCTTGAGTGTCAAATTGATTTGACTATGTCCCCTGAAAGTTCAGGTGTTGGAAACTTAATACCCAGATTCATATGTTAATGGCACTTGGAGGTGAGGTTTTGGGAAATAATTAGGATTAGATGAGGGCGTGAAGGTGGGGCCCCCATAGTGGCAGTAGTGGCTTTATTAGAAGAGAAAAGAGATCTGAGAGAGTTCACTTGCTCTAGCTCACCATCTGATGCCTTCTGCCATGTTATGAAGACCAAGAAGGTCCTGATCAATGCCAGCTTGTTGGAATTAGACTGACCCACCTTAAATTTGTACTCTAAATAAACCTTAATTCTTTATAATAATTATCCAGTTTCAGATATTGTTGTAACAGAAGAAAGAAGGCTCAACAAGTATATTTCATAGAAAATGTGACCTCTCCCCTTCTTATTTTATTTTATTTTTAGTTTTAGGTGGACACAATATCTTTATTTTATTTTTATGTGATGCTGAGGATCAAACCCAGTGCCTCATGCACGCCAGGTGAGCACTCTACCACTGAGCCACAACCTCAGCTCCGACCTACCCCCTTCTATGATGAGGTTTTCTTAGAGAAAAAAATACTATTTGGGCGGGGGAATTTTGATAGCTAGAGCCACAAACTGAAGGCCACTGGAAAATATTCTCATTGTCCTGATATTAAAAAGACATGAGCTTCATCCCTAATTAGCAGAGTAACCTGGGTCAAGATGAATCGTGAGGCACTTCAGATCCTTATTTGTAGCAGCTGTGCGGTTCAGATAATTCATGGTTGATACTTACACACAGTGCCTCCCATGGAGTATGCATTAATTCTTTTAGCTTTAGAAATAAAAATTATTTTACCTATAGATTTTTGAATCACTAAAGTGTCGACATTTTGAAGACCAGGTTAGTCCTGTGTTAAAGAAGGATGTAACTGGCTAGATCCTATTTCTCTGTTGCTCTTTTGGAACCTGCAGCCTGTGTTTCTACAGGGAGCAGTTTCCACCTACATAGACCACACACAGCTGTGGGCCAGGTCTCTACTCAGCCCCACTCCACCTCAACAATTCCCCACTATTCCCCCAGCTAAATGGCCAGATGATCTGCTACCAGAGACACAGAATGACCAAGGACAATTTGTACAAGATCTAATTTAGAAAAAATCTATTAATAATATATACTAAAAGACATTTTGTGCCAGTATCAGAGCTCACTATGAGCCTCTTATTAGTTTTAATGGGTAGGCAGAACTTTCCTGAAAGCCTGAAGGAGTTAAAGGGGCTCATCCAGGGATTCTGAGTTGGCAGGAAAGCAGAAAGGCCACTGCCCTGGGGCAAGAGAGGAAAAGACAAGGTCTGAAGCACCCTTATTATCTGTATAGCAAGTTACTCCTTCCTGTGGTTTTATTCTTTTTCCAAATCTCAATTCACTTCACGATATAAGCATCTTTCTATCTCACTCTATAAATGCTTGACCCTTCTCAGATAAGGCTTAGTTATCTCAACACCAGAGCATCATATCAGCAGCTTTAGAAAAGATTCAGACCTTGATCTGATCATTGTACATTTATACATGTATTAAAATGTCACACCCCATGAATATGGAAAATTATTATGTGTCAATAAAAAATTAGAAGTAGGGCTGGGGAAATAGCTCAGTTGGTAGAGTGCTTGCCTCGCATGCACAAGGCCCTGGGTTCAATCCCCAGCACCACCAAAAAATTAATAAATAAAATAAATAAAAATTAAAAGTATATTTTAAAAATCCAGTGTGGGGTGCAGTGGCATACACCTATAATCCCAGCTACTCAGGAGGCTGAGTCAAGAAGATGGCAAGTTCAAAGCCAGCCTCAGCAACTTATTAAGGCCTTAAGCAACTAGTGAGATCCTATTTCAAAATAAAAATGAAAAGGACTGGAGATGTACTCAGTGGTTAAGTGGTTAAGTGCCCCTGAGTTCAATCCTGGGTAAAAAAAAAAAAAAAAAAAAAAAAAAAAAAAGATCCAGCATAAAAATTTGCCTAGCTGAAGCTGGAGTAATTTAGAGGAAAATTTGGAATCTCTAAGAGAGAAAATGTATGAACATTAACACCACAAGAGAGAAAGCTGAAGAAAAGCCCAAATATAGATTTCTCACTCAGTATTTGCAGGGACTTGCCAGAAGAGGGTGAATTTTCTGGTGCTTGAGGGAACCCCAAGAGGGAATTTACTGTGGGGAACTGACTGTGCCTAGGCAGAGGCCAGGTTGCCTCTCTGTTGATTAGCAGAAGGCTCATCCATCAAGATTGCTTCAGCAAAGGTTGTACAGAAGGAAAGATGAAAAAGGTGTAGCCTGGGGATGGCTCTGGAAGAACATGGGTTAATGTGCTTGAGCAGCTGTCCCCAACTGCCTGGGACTGAGGAGTGCAGAGTGCAGAACTATTACCTGGAAGCCATTGGGGGCCATATGCCCATTCATTGCCGAGTGCATAAAGTTCTTTCTCCTGAATCTGAAGTTCAAGATACTATCACCCCATAGGATTCTTCATAAATACCTCAGCCAAGACCACCCCCCCAACTCCCAACATTTGTATATTTGTGACTTCCTCTGGATATTTCCCTTAATGCTATACAGAAGTAACCTGGTGAAATGTGTGCAATCCTCTGACTTCAGATAACACTGCAAATGCAAAAGGCTGGTGATGTGTTGCATACCTAAAACAAGCCCAGCAATTATATACCTGGTGTTTGGTCAGATTGTTCAGATAGAACATCTACAAAGATTGAGAAGCTACTGACAAGAGAGGGATTGCATGGAAAAAGTTTGGATTTACCTTAAATGCAAAGAAGTGGTCTGTGTATTTTTCACCAAAGACAAATCTAGCACCAGCGACAGTGTAATCCAGAAAAATCTGATTTGAGAAAGAAAAAGAGATCATTAAAACCACTGAAATGTTTGTTACAAGCCATCGTAGCACTAGGCTCTGCAGAGGATGAGAACCATGTCCAATGAATGGCATAGAGCTGTATTTTTAAATTATGTCTGCATAAAGATTTTCTGTCATGTCTGACATTAAGTCTGACTCTAGGATGCTAAAGAACAAGCTGAGTGTGGTAATTTGCTCTAGCAAGCCAGAGATAGTACACAGGTGCCACTTGTTACTACTGGATGCAAAGGAAGCTCATTTCTCTGTTTAGAAACCAGCTTATAAGGGTGACATCCCTATGGGCAAGGTGATGGGGGAACAGGGATAGGGGATGGATGCAGTAGAGAATATAGGTAAGGACAGCAGTAATCATAATTAACTAGACAGATTAATGTATTCCACACAAACAGGTATTTGTCTGATTCACACTATGGAATTAAAATCTGGGTCAAATATTACAGACTTATAAACCTATTTCTGAGATGCCTCAAGGATTACATCCAAATGTTAAAAGCATCTTAAATGTAAAGTATTCTTTTGAAACACTTACCTGAATTTGTGTGCCCAACCAATTGAAAGCAATATATCCAGAATTAGACCTTAGAATGAACAGTCCAAGAAGAAATTGTAACCCAATTCCCCAAAAGACAGGTCTCCAGTAAACCTATGCAGAATGACAGAGATATTATCTTATTAGAAAGTTAATGCTGACGTTAGCATAAACATCAAAAGAATCACTGATTTCTTCTTTGGGAGGCCTGAGGAGCCATGAGCAGAGGGTCTTTTGATAGAAACATAGCTTCAAAAGCTTAAGATTGCATTTCCTCTCCTTAAACCTGGGTTTCAAGTCTTTAGTGCTGGTGAATAACCACTAAGTTCTGATAAGTAACTTAGACACAAAGAGTAGTCTAAGAAGTGTCATTAAAGGAGGAAGGACCTGGCTGTTCTAGTCTTACTGTAAGTATTAGACAAATATAATTACTTCTCCTGCCTGGAAAATTGAAAGGCAGAACATGATTTCTCAGTGTGTCTGAGGCTTGTAGATCTGACAATTTTATAAGTGAATTAAATGAAATTCTACCCTATTGAGGGGCTCTTGTTTCACTATAAAAGGAACCAATGACCTGTAATGCAGATGCAGGATGTACACCAGAAATGGGCAATCATCTATTTTCATTTTTTGATGGGGAAATGAGGTCTGAAAAGACCTATGGGAGCAAAGGCCCAGTCAGTGGAGATGCTTACCCAAACAGGGCAAGTGATTTGGATCATATCAGGTGAATTTGGCCTCAGATTAATGCTTTTTCCTCGGGTCAGTCTTTTAGTCAGAAAATTCTTCCAGGGCTTGCCATCATGATTCATATGTGAGAGCTTCTAGGTCTCAGAATTCTTGCCCATTTCATGAGTTACAGGCTGACAGACAAGGATGAGGATTGGATTCAATTGGGGGAAAAACTGTATAAGGACAATTTTTTTTTTTTTGGAGTATAAAAGCCTGAATTGCAAATGGAACATTGATAAAGTGCAGGATCAAGTACAAACTATTAAGTAATTTGTATTCTTGGAAAACTGAGATCAAAATGAATGTGATTTTCTCCGTATGTATGTTGGATAGAGGCAGGGTGTACATGAGTAGAAATAGGATTTGACAAGGAGAGAATGTCCCACTGGTTGTGTAACTGGAAATTACTGAGAATGGATTGAGATAGTAATAGATAGTACTTTGAAAGTTCCAGAAGGAGAGCAATTTAACCACTTAAATTACAGAAAATTAAGAAAAATATTGAATAGATAAATACTTTTATGATCATTATTTTGATCATATTTTTCACCTGGGTAGGGAAAACAAAACAAAACAAAAAGTCCAACCAATTTCATACTTACTCTGGTTGGGTACTTGGAAAATATAAACAACAGGATAATGTACATTATGAGTCCACCAAAGGACACCAGCTGCTGTTGGCCCAATTTGGCGGTGTCGAGGATCAGCCAGAAGATAATTCCTAGGATCAATAAGCTCCAAATCACCCTAAGAAAACAAAAGTTAGGCGTTGGGATCATTTGTTGTGCTAACTTGAGGCTTAAACTAACATATTTAAAAATGCAGACAAAGGTAACATACCCCGGCACCAGGAAGCTACACTTTCACATATCGTATCAGAGTCTTTTTGGTTGTGGCTAAAATGGCAAACAGCCCCAAAATTAAACAGTGTGCCCCCCTCATTCTGCAACTCAGGCCCTTTACCAGCTCACAGATACACAAAGAGATCAGAGAGAAGAAAGGACATTTGGAGAGGAAGGTCTGGCTATTTCTTTAAGATAGCTATCCGGATTCTCTCTACCTTGTCTTTGGGGATAGGTAAGATGTTAGCTTTGTCCCTTTAATGGAGAATTTGAAAGGTGTCCTCTGCAGCTGGGGGGGGCCTCAACAGAGCTAAATTGGATATTAGGCTGGGTTCTGACTCCCTGGGGAGTCTAATGGGCATGACAAGGCTGATTCATTGCTTTGATGGCAGAACCAGAAAGGCTGTTTGCTATGTTGGGACTGCACAATCCTGATTTATTAGGCCAAGGATGTATGAAGTTTCTTGTTAGAATCCTTGGGGGGTCTCTATGGAGAGAGAGGTCCTGGCAACAACCCAGTAGGGCCACCTGGAAGGAGAGGAGATCCTCTAAAGAAAAGTTGAAGGAAAAGCCTATAGTGGTCACTGAAGGAAGTGCGTCCTAGAGGAGAGTGGGCTTTGGCAATTCATAAGGCCCTTCCTCCAAGGAGGAGGGTCTCCTGCCCAGAGCAGGAAGCCACCTCCCTGAGTTGGAACTGTCCTGGCCTGATCCCTAGATTTGAGGTTGGTAGAGAAGCAGAAAACAAGGAGAAAAGAGAAACACAAGCCAAATCTGGGATGGTAAGATAGAATCTTGGCTGCCTTCCTAGTTTTCATTATTGTATGGGCTGGGACAGCTTCATATTAAAAATACTTCTGGGGTTGGGATTGTGGCTTAGCGGTAGAGTGCTCGCCTGGCATGTGCAAGGCCCTGGGTTCAATCCTCAGAACCACGTAAAAATAAGTAAATTTAAAATAAAAAGGTATTGTGTCCAACTACAACTAAAAAATAAATATTAAAAAAATACTTCTGTAACCATTGGATTATTAACTAAGAGTGGGCAAAAGGGTCATGAGGTTTTGGCATTTAATACAAAATATGGGATAGATAGTTCCAATTGAATAAAATGGAAAGAATGATGGATGAAAAAATTGTTGTATTTTGGTTGCAATCTGTAGGTCATGATTTTAACATGTTGGTTAGACAAAAAGTCAGAAAATAGTTGTCCTTGATATCAAGGCAATTTTTAAAACCCCAATTTTTAGGTAGCAAAAGCCAATGAAAGACATTAGAGAAAATGAAAGCCTAATTGAAAAATTATTGGAAGTGTAATAAGGAAATGTAAATAGAGAGATACCAGTTGATCTAAATTAACAAGAAATAGATTAAAAAAGAAAGGTTTATGCTTATCATAACATTTACAGTAGCAAAAAATTTCTGGATGTAGTAGTGCATGCCTATAATCCCAGTGACTCAAAGGCTGAGGCAGAGGGATCACAAGTTTGATCACTAAGCCTTGGCAACTACTTGGCAATATACTCTGGTAGATTCAGTACGTGAGCTATTATCAGAATATTAAAAAATTAAATGAGCTGTGGATGGAACTCTGTGGTAGAGCACCAGAGCATCCCCTGGGTTCAATCCCCAGTAAATAAGATAAATAAGTTGTATTAGGAATATGTATAACTTGTGGGGCTGGGGCCTTAGCTCAGTGTGTACAAAGCCCTGGGTTCCATCTCTAGTGCCACAAAAGCAAATAAGGAAACAAACATCCGCCACCCCCAAAAATAACTTGCATAAGAAAATGGTGTGACAGGGGTGTAGTTCAGTGGAAGAGCACCTGCCTATTATGTACAAGACCCTGGGTTTGATTCCCAATACTGCAAACAAAACAAAACAAACAAAAACCTATATTCGTCATTTTGTATTTAAGAATAAAATCTTTAAACAGGTACTGAGATTAGATTTCATGTTGCTGTTCCTTGACTGGTGCCAGGACAGATCTTACTAATTGACCCTGAGGCCATGCTATTGAAAAGTGCTAGGAAGACCTAATGCCATTGGTGCAATGACTAAAACCTGTGCTATCTTATACTCTTAACTACTTTTTGATATGTAGGTTTCTCTAATGCAGTACTTGAAAGATTATTAAATTAAGGTTTTTTGGGCCACATTTTGTCATTCAGTATAACTTGAAATTAAGGCTACTGATTGTAGGGATGCTTGAACACATTTCAAATGAGTTATCACCTCATCTAGGCCTTGATTTCCTATTTGTAAAATGAAGGCGTCATAATGGATTGCTCCCAAGGTTTGTTTCTAGCTTCAATATCCCATAAATGAGGAAGAAATTTTAGAACAAATTTTTGGAACTGTGTTGAAAAAGAATAATATCTCTCTCAATTGCAATAAGAGAAGCAATTGCATTTACCACTTCAGCCAGAACCAGTGGCTGTTCAGCAGCATTCTGCCTGGGGATATGATCTCATCAATTCGATGTTCATATTTGGCCATCAAGTGATCCCAGACAACGAAGAAGATGGCAGCCACGGTGATCCCAAAAAGAGGAAGCGCTCTGTGAAAATTCAGCACACAGGCTGCAATCACCAAAGCCAGGTAACCTGTACAGGAGGCAAACACAGACTATGACCATCACTGAAGCCAGCTGGGCCCCAGCCTCCAGCCTTAATCTGGCGAAGGGGAGGTTTAATCAAGAACCCATTGAATGCAGGGTGCTTTAACGTGGGTACTGGCTCCTCTGGGGGAGGTTATTATTAACTTATTTATTTCAAAACAAATCCCTACTATTCGCACCATGAAGACTAGGAGGAAATGTGGCAGGGGCTTCCTCTTCCCTTTTGCCCTTCTACCTGTCCCTAATCCTTTGGCTAAAGAGAAGCTCTACCTAGATGTTAGCCAACTCCCTCATTGAAGAGGACTGTCCAGACTGCAGCCTCACTGCTTCCTTCCCTCCCACAAAAACCCCTGGTGCCCAGAAACCAAGAAAGATACAACCTTGAGGACCTAGGCCTTCTGGTTTCCTCAGGGCTGGCCTTGAATAAACCTGATTTCTTTCTGCCAACACTCATCTCTCCAATATTAGTACCCAGCGAGAGGCAGCCCAGATACTTGATTCTGGTCATAGGAAGGGTATTATTTATTTTCTTACAGACTTTAATTCTTGAATCCTGATGCTCAACGATTTAGCTTTTCTCTTTTTACTCTCCCCCCGCCCCCATTCAGACTCAGTAGGTGAGCTACCATCAGAAAAAGTTTAAGTATTAAAGCAACACTGGACTGAGAGGTATTGGTTTTCTAGGTTTGCAGCTTAGAATTGGCCTAAGCTTGAGTAGGGAAATAAACCTACCTACCAACAATCTCTAAGTGCTACAGTATTTCTAAGGAAAAGAGTGGGAGCAATGACTAGAGCAGGCTTTTGAAGAAGCAGATTCTCAGATAAGAATAAGGTCCCTGTTTTTGAAGGTCAGCAAGCTACAGTCTGCTGGTCTGCTCCTTGTTTTTGTAGGTGGCAAGTACAAATACATTGTTTGCTTGTATTGTAGTCTATACATAAAGTTTTATTGAAACAGAGCTATGTTTGTTTAAATATTATCTGCCTGTTTTTATTTATTTTTAACCACAATGGCAGAGTTGCATTGTTTTGATAGTATGTATAATATATCACCAAGCCTAAAGTACAACCTGCTAAAGGGAAAGATTATCAACTCTGCTGTTTCCTGTTTCAGCTCTCTGAGAACCAGTGACACTTGTGACACTGGTGGTACAGCAATCTTGGATTAATGTCTATAGTTTTGAGTGGGATCATTTACATTTTGTAGACAGAGTGTTCTTATTTATTTATTTATTTATTTATTGGTACTTGGAATTGAACTCAGGGTGCTCTACTCCTGAGCTATATCTCCAGCATTTTTACTTTTTATTTTGAGCCTTGCTTGACCTTGTTATTTTGCTTGCTAGAATTGCAGGTGCGTGCCACTGCCCCAGCAGGAGTGTTCTTTAAAATGGGATATGGAGGGAGTAAAAGCAGGAGATATTCTGGTTCTACCTTCAGGCAAGAGGAGTGGGCTAGCTGGCTCCAGGCTCTACATCCTGTATTCACCTGCTGCAAGTAGGTTTTTGTTTTGTGACCATCACTGTGTCTGCCAGTTACTCCAGTTTTTCCAGATTTGCATTAACCAATGCACCTCTCCAAATCCATATCACAATGACAAAGTCTTTGTGAGCCCCCAGAGCAGGGTAGGTGCTAAAGTTTGAATGTTTTCCCTAAAGTTAACAACTTAATGCCCAAATTCATATGTTAATAGTTAGGATTAGATGATGTCTGATGGTGGGGCCCCCTTGTGACATTAGTGGTTTTATAAAAAGAAGAACAGAGAACCAGGCTAGCATGCATACTCTGTGTCAAATTAGGGTTCCTTTTGCCACATTATGCTGCACAAAGAAGGTCCTTGCCAATGTTAGTATCTTGACACTGGACTTCAAGCCTCTGGAACTGTGAGCTAAATACACCTCTATTCTTTATAAATGACCTATTCTATTGTATAAAATGGTATTTCTATTGCTTTTTGGTATTTACCTGCCAGTAAAATGCCCCAAACGATGTATCGAATAGTGGTTTTGTGTTTTTTATAAAAATCATAAACTGTATCGTACTTCCTTTCCAAATACCTGGAACACAAAAGCAAAAAGGCAGAGAGAAGTAAACATGAAATAAACCATGATGCTAAGGCTAGATTAATCTTTATAAAGCAAGCAAGAAAACAACAAACATTCACAAGGCATATGTCTTACAAAATAGAAATGGGAAATTTATTTCATTTTAGACGAAAATCAGCCATGGGTTGGATTAATCTTCACAGAATTGAGTGTGCCAAACCCTGAGGAATTAGATGTGGAAAACATGTTCCTGGGAACAGAGCAGGGAAGATGAGTAACTAACTAAAAGCTGAGATACCCCATATTTCACTGCAGAATTGTTGCCACCACAGTAACATATATTCATGAGAACTCTGTGCAACTTAATCTTGTACCAAAGACAGCTTAGTAATAAATCATTTGTAAGTAATAGCAGCACAATTTCTTTTAAAAGCTTCATGTAACAATTGTACCACACTTTTTTTGCAAAAAATTTTCACATAAAATCTGAAGATTATGTGGTGAAATATGGTAAATCATGAGAGTCCTTCTGAATAGGAAGTATCAGAATAGATCAGTCATAATGATGGGTATTATTTCATGTTCCTCTCATTGTTATGTATGTGTGAATATGAGTACTGAGCATTAGAAATGCCTTGGAAGATCTTGGGTGAATAAAAGTAGAATAAAGACCATGTTTTTCATGATCTATTTTAGGAAAAGCTAATAATATCCATCCTCAGTTGTGGATATGGTGTTTTTTAAAAAAAGAATCAGTGACAGAAAGTGACATTTAATAGGGTACATCTGTCTGTTGTAGGTTGACTTTATTTTTAATTGTAGGGGATGTGTGTTGTTCATTATAGCAACCTGACTCCACAGAGCAGAGTGGTTGGAGAAACACACTTATGTTATTTTGTTTATCTAGGTTGAATAATTTCCAAATGCCTGGTGGTTATTTCAGTACCAATAACACAGTGAAACTTGAGTATATCTGACCATGAGAATTTCTCAGCCCCTTCTGGGTCAAAATCTCATTAAGTAAAATAAAGGATGAAATTCAGCTCAGTTTTTAGTGGTTAATATTCTTGATGGTTTATATGTGACAAGACTTTCCAACCCTAATTCTGACTGATTCCATTATACCTTCGTATATATAAAAATCATATTCCTCAAACCCAGCAAGGTGGCACATCCCTGTAATTCCAGCAACTCAGGAGACTGAGACAAGAGGATCATAATTTTGAGACCCATCTCAGCAACTTAGAGAGACCCTCAGCAACTTAGCAAGACAATTTTTCAAAATAAACAATTAAAAGGGATGGGATGTAGCTCATGGTAAAGTGCCCCTGGGTTTAATTCCCATTATAGGGAAAAATATTCTTTCAGAGATGTAGAATTTTAAATCAAATTTATGTGGGATTTCCAAAATGGATAAATATTATAGTGTTATCATAAGAGTACCAGACAATCTTGGACTAGGGATCAAAGGCTGAAATTCCAAGTTAGTTCTGTTTTTCTCTGGCTTATTGACCTTAGGTAGGTCACTTCTCTGAGCTTTTTTCCTGGTCCCAAAATTAAAGGTAATAATCTTGCCTCTCCTACATTATGGTAGGAAACTTGGGATACAAGGTAAGAGCAACAGTTGTTGAGATTTAAAGTGGATTGAGTTTTGAGAAATCAATTGTTATTGATTGACATTGAGAAGATAAATTAACTACTTTTGTATGGACTAGAGCGATTAGTTGGTAATTTGCACCTTTAATTAGAAGACTTTCCTGGGTGAATTTAAATCTAGATATTGGGTTCCCAGAACATCAGCCCTCTGAATTGACTAACTCGATCCTCCTAGAGCTCCATTAATTTTTCTGAAAATGGTGTTGGGTGGGTGGAGATGGGAGTGGTGACAGTTTCTAATAAATCATAACAAGTGTTAAAATTTAGAAGGGGATAAAACAAAGGGACTTATACAAATAGGAGCCCAGGCATCATTATTCCCTGGTTTAAACACTCTACCCTTTCTGATGTGTGTCCTGGTCATCCTCCATGTCTTCTTCTTCTTCTTTCCTTAGAGAATCCTGCTCAATGTTGACCAGCTCTTCACCCTGGAAATCATTAGAGCTGAGATGAAATTAAAAAAAAAATACTAGGCATTATGGACTGTGTCTCCTTTGCTCAGAATTGTGACCAAGAATTTCCAATAGGTCTTTTTAAATTTTTATGCAAGAAAATGGCTCCTATTATCTACTGCATAGACATTTTTTCCTCCTATAATTATGAGAAATTCAGGATCACACTTATCTCTCCCTTTTCTCCCAGAGGAGCCGTTGGCATTCTTTCCTTATGGGAACAGGCTCATCTTTCTGCTTTTTCTCCTGTCTCTACTGTAATTATTCAACACCAGTTCTGTTTTCAAGCAAGTGTTAAATGAAGTTTAATACCAGAGGCTGCATAAATCTCCCTTTATACTATACCAGCTCCAGTTTCCAAAGGACTGAGACCAAAACTACTTTTAGTTTTCTGGCAAGCTCACTGCTTGGTCTGCAGAGGTGAATCCTAGCTCAGCATCTTCAAGAGATGACAAACCAATGTTCCCTTGGGACATAACATCCTTCTATCATTTGGGTTGAAGGGGAATATTAATATTTCCCTTACCCAGCAAGGCCTGCTCTAATTAGTGGAATGCAGTATATATTTGAGCCATCTTTCGTGGACACTCTTTCTAGGTACAGTCTGAGCTCTCAAATATCCACAAACCATCTTATTCCCAGGAAGGCACAGAAGGTTTTTTCCCCTTTCCCATTCTGCAATAATGTCTCATCTGATAGGTCTGGCTGTTGTAACCAACAGCATGGAAGCTTGCGGTGAGGGGTATACAGATGTGGAAACAATTTTGAACATGCACCAAGAGATAGGGTGTCAAATTTCAGCTTTTGTCATGTGTTATAACCATTGTGGCCTCTGATTCTCTGTACTTTATATTATAAATTGTTAGCATGCTTCTTAAAAGAATGAATCTTCAATGATCACATAGCTCTGCTGGGCGAGGTGATGCAAACCTATAATCCCAGTGACCTTGGAGGCTAGTGCAGGATCACAAGTTCAAGGCAGACCTGGGTAACTTAAACCCTGTCTCAAAATTAAAAACAAAAACAAAACGGAATGAGGTTGCAGCTTAGTAGTAGAGTATCTCTGGGTTCAGGCCCCAGGACTATAAAGAAAGAAAGAAAAAGGTCCCATCAGTCCTCTAATGCCAAATTCTGCTATACTTCTGATTCAGATTACCTCATTTTCTGGGATGGCTAACAATTGTCAGATGGTTGTTATTTTCTTGCAGTGACAGTGTCCCAAGTTATCTACTCTTTATGCAAAGCCCAGCATTAGTATCCTTTTCTCTTTTTTCAATACTTTCTTATCTTTTTAAAAACACAACACCAAAACCCCCTTGACCCCTACAATCATAGGGCATCTGCCCTGCACCTTCCCTACCTGCAAAGAGTTGTCCCTTCCCTGTCTGGCCACTGCAAAGTGTTGCCTTTACTTTTCATGACCACTTCCCTACTTCCTGTTCACTGCAGAACCACTGTGATTATGTTTCTACTGACCAGCTTCTGCCAAAGTCAAATAGGGCCCACTTTGCCAAATCCAGTAGCTATTCCTCAGTCTTCACATTTCTGATTATAGTTGTAAAATGGATAAATAAATTTTTTTTTAAAGTAGACTTTTTAGAGTAGTTTTAGGTTCATGGCAAAACTGAGGTGAAAGTACAGAGATTTTCCATATATCCTCACACAGCCTCTAGACTATAACATCCTGCACCACAAGTGTATATTTGTTACAACTAATGAAGCAGCATTGACACATCGTTGTCACCCAAAGTCCACAGTTTACATTTAAATGCACTTTTATCGTTGTGCAACTAACATATACTCACCATGGTAGCTTCGTGCAGAATTGCTTCATTGCTCTAAAAATGCTCCTGTTCATCCTTCTCTTCTCCCCAACTCCTATAAACCATTAATCTTTTTACTCTCTCCATAGTTTTGTCTTTTCTAGAATGCCTTATATTTAGGATGGTACAGTATGTGGCCATTTCAGATTGGCTTCCTTCACCAGTACCATGCATTTAAGATCCCTCCAGTTCTCTTCATAGTTTGATAGTTTTTTCTTGTGCTGAAAAACATTTTGTTGTCTCAATGTACCACATTTATTTATCCTTTCCTACTGAAGGACGTCTGCTTCCATGTTTTGGCAATTATGAATAAAGCTGTTATAAATGTCTGTGTGCAAGTTTTTATGTGGACTTAAGTAGTTTTCTTTT